AATACGTTGTTTTATATGTCTGCTTCGTACCAGTTTGTGCACTCCTATAAATCGCCTCTATCATTCTATGCCGAATAACAGCATCCTCCCAAGTGGGATATAAGCCTCCTTCTTTTGCGAACTCGTCATATGCTCTTCCAACATTGACATGAGTATCTTGTTCATCTGGTAGCGCAATTTCTATCATATCTTTGCCATCGAAGCTTGCGTACAAGGTAGGAGAGGAGACTTGCAGGTATCCATTTGGCCCTCTAACTTGTAATTCACCAAGAGTACCTTCAACTTCCCACAATAAATTCGTACCTTTGTATGATCCACCACGTAAATGAGCTGATGCATATGCACCGGAAGTCAAGACTCCACTGACACTCATCTGATCATGAGATGTGAGTGGTATATCACGAATTTTGTTTCCTTTTTCATCCCGAAGTTCGATAGTCTTTCTTGCGTTATGAGTTGTTGCGGTAAGTGATTCGAATTCTCCCAAGACATAACACATAGCATCTAATGAATGGCCGCCAAGTACAGTAATCATGTTTGCTCCATTTTCAATATCAGCGATATATGATTTACTCTCATCAATTGTAGGACCCCAAAGAATACCTCCTGCATACAGATGTGTAGACAATATTTTGCCAAGCTTTCCAGAACTAATTATGTCTTTCATCTTCTTGACCACAGAAGACTGACGTCCTTGTAATCCTACCATTGTTTTTACACCTTTTGAACGAGCCAATTGAGTAAGTTCCTCTGCTTCTTGAAGATTTCGTCCAAGAGGCCATTCAACGATAGCATTTTTGCCTTGTAAGAGAGCAGGCATGATGAGAGATTTATGTAGCGGAACTTTAACAGATACGACGACAGTATCAATGTCTGGATCTTGTGCTAATTCTTCTGATGTTGCATAGTATTTATTAACACCAAATGCTTCAGCTGAAGATTTTGAAGATTCAATAGTCGAATTTGCAATTGCTTTTATAGTGTAGATCGAAGAATTTTTCAAATAGGATTCATGAGCACTCGAAGCCCAGCCTCCTTTCGAGGAAAGACCGATAAATCCAATGTTGATTCTAGAAGACATAAAAGATTGACGAATGGGATGAGTTTATATGTATGTGATGTATATTTCTGGCGTGCTTGTGCTTGTCGAACGTTCTTATAAATATATAAAAAAAGATGCATTCGTCATGCTGACGCGTTTTTTGCGTTCTCACACACTCAAAAGTAATCTGAGGTCTATTGAATAAATATACTTCGTGCTTTGTCATTATCATATATACCAAGGTCTTTTCTAATAGAGTGAAGTTTGAGTGAGGAAAAGAAACATCAGTCACCAAAAGAAATTCTGTACAACACTATTTTTGCGTTTAAATGTGTAGTCCGTTGCTTTCAAATGCATTTCTATTGTCCAACAAAAGCTGTTTAAATATAGTTTATATTTATTGCGTTTTATGTTTGTTGAAGAGATATTTTTAAAAGTAAAGATATGCAATTTGTTTTATATTTTATATAATGGATCATGATGCAACGTTAGAGTTGAAAAAAAAACTTTATTCGCTCCACGTGCGTTTTTAATGTACATTTTTTGTTTCTTCATCTGTTACACATAAATGTGTAAGCCTGTGCGCAATATAACGACTACATAGGAAAGACAAAACTCTGAGAAGAGTCATTCAATGATGCAGTAAAACATAATTACTTGATTTCAATTCTAATCAATACAGAAAAGTATAAAGCAGAATATAAGCTGTTTATGATATAAAGAAGAAATGACACTATTTACAAATAAGTATAGGATTTGATTGTGCATCCCACGGCAATGAAATTGTTATCTTCGGACGAAGTTGTGATAAGATATAAAAACTGAGTAAATATGCCATGGAAATAAGTAGCAATAGTTTTTCAAAGGCATATGCCTGATTCAAAATAGCTCACTGTGAAACATTCACTTATTATCTTTGTTCTCGTTGTCAGTGCCTATTGTGCACCGATATTTGATGAAAAATTGGACAATGCGTGGACATTATTCAAACGTGTCTATTAAAAACAATATGAATCTAGAGATGAAGAAACAACACGGTAATTGAATAACATTTTCTGAATTGTAGTTGCATCTACTGATTATTTCTCGTAAACGAGCTATATGGGAAGCAAATGTTCGAAAGATTCGTAGGCATAATCTAGAAGTAGGTCTGGCTCTTCATATATACACCATGAAAGTGAACCAGTTCGGTGATTTGGTACGTTTCTGACTGTAGTTTAATATTTCACAGGAATACTATGCAGATGTTTCAATACATAGATACATGATGAGTTTAAGAAACGCATGAATGGACTTAGAAAAAATATAAATACTGATACGAATAGATTTGATCGGCACCGATTCTTGGTCCCTGCAAGCGTTGCCATTCCAGATAACATAGATCAGTTTTATGATTAGTTGATTGGGAAATATTTAAGTATGAGAGCATGAATTTCGATTGGCGTGAACATGGCTATGTCACTTCCGTTAAGGATCAAGGGGAATGTGGTTCATGCTGGGCTTTTTCTGCTACTGGTGCACTCGAAAGTCAGTACTTTGTCAAAACTAAAGTGCTTGTTTCACGGTCAGAACAAAACTTGGTCGACTGCTCTACCAAGTTCAGTGACAATGGTTGTAATGGTGGTTTGATGAATAATGCTTTTGAATATATCAAACAAAATGATGGCATAGACACGGAGGATAGCTATCTATACAGAAGCATTGATGACAAGTGTCATTTTAAACCAGAGGATGTTGGTGCCACTGATGTGGTAAGTTTTTTTTGAGAGATCAAGAGTAAAATGAGGTCAATTCGTTTCATTTCGAATATCTCTTTCTCAAACTGATAATAGGTTTATGTAGTGAAATATATTTCTATGTCACAAGCTTTATTCATGAAGAACCTTACTCTTTGACTTTTTTTTTGGATACGAGCATCAAATGGCTGAGTTTGTCATGAAACTACTCCATGCACAGAGAAATTTCACATGTAGAAATGAATTAAAATTACACATTTACGAATGTCGTTACTTCAGGAAAACAGAGAAAACATATTGTGCAAAAGAAAAGACAATACCAATCGAATAATATTATCTCCACAAACGTCTCGTGAAAGTGAAGTAATAACAGAAAAATTTGTCGATGATTTGCTTTATAAAGTAAAAAGCATTCGAATTTCTCTCATAGAGTTTTGCTTATATCAAGGCAAAGAACGAAACTGATCTCACACTTGCTATGGCTACAATTGGTCCTATTTCAGTCGATATTGATGCTTCGCAAGAATCTTTCACGTTTTTATCACAAAGGTGTGTATAATGAACTCGGCTGCTCGTCAACCAATCTCAACCATGGCGTGTTGGCTGTTGGTTATGGAAGTATTACAATCAAACAGAAATTAGATTATTACATAGTCAAGAATTCATGGAGCTCTGATTGGGGTGATTATGGCTACATCTTGATGAGTCGCAACGCGAATAATCAATGTGGAATTGCTACTTCAGCGAGCTATCCACTTGTATAGAGTTGTGATCATCGTTCAATATAACTGATGTGCGAGATTGTCGTCATCATTTTATTAAATAAACGTATGTGGAAGCGTTGATACTGGCCATCGTCATTCGCATATCCTTTATCTAAAATAGATGTTGTTGGGTAAACAATTTACTTAGGAAATTTGAATCAGATGCTCTTTAGACAGAAGCAACAGGTATATACATAGTGAGTGTTAAGAAAAAAGTAGAAGATACCGACAAATAACATAATACAGTTGGAAAATGCATGAATTACTATTTCAAAGCAAGAAACATAGTAGAGGAAGAAATCAAGAGAATACATTGGGGAAAATGTCCGATTGAACGAACAAATATGGTTAATATCTTTAACAGATTTGTCTTTTGGTAAGTTTTACGGAGCGATCATAACATTATCTCCATACGGCATCATCTGAACTATTGAGAATGTAGGTGTCACTGCAACGATGAATATAAGAGAGACCCTCACATGCATCTGAACAAATGCTCTATTATAATTCTCTTAGTACATGGATACCCAGAAAACTCACTGCTTCTGCTTGAATAGAAGCATTCTCTCATTAGAGTAAGTTGTGTGTAATGGGCATCTATACGATCTTCCTGTTGCACGCATCTTCTTATCCAGTAGCATCGGTATACACAGTTGTTAATGTCAATCTATAGCATGTAAATGTTCTTCATAAGGATAATGTTCAAGTTGTCTTAATGAAGATATAATGTCAGAGATTAGGTGATTGTTACTTAGCTCCAGATTTAATCGAAGTATAAAAGTGTGTGCATCCTTGAATTGATACATTACTTTGATTGCAACGTTCCTTGCCATGAATAATTCCTGTCTTTTGGTTACACTTGCTTTGTTGTCTATTAGAATATTGATCCATGGGCTGTTGCAGTCTCAATGCGTGGTGGTAATACAAAGACTCGTAAATTCAATTCGTTGCTCTTCATTCATCGACGATGATTGTTCTCTCATCAACAGTCTATTTAGTCTGTGAATATACTGCGAATTGAAAACTTGATTATCTCATGGGTTGTCAACTGACATTTTTGCCAGCATCCACTATGAAATATACAAGTGTACACTGAATAATTTTAGAGAAACCTAATTCTATTTATAGCATTCTTCAATGCTTAATCTCGATCGAACCTGTAAAAATGTACTTCACAACTGTTATATTGAAATTTATGAGTCATCTCTTAAGAATGTTTTCATAACTATTCGTATGGCATGAGAATATGGAAGTTTGGCATTGCTTTAATCTTGTACCAGACTTCTTGCCATATATACGGTACCCTATAATAGTGTTACGGGAATAGCATGTCGACATGTCTGCGAATCTGTTTTAAAGGTCAGAAAATCGTATTGCAACAAATGAAACAAAATTTTTCAAACTTATGACTTCAAATTCGTTCAAAATTAATGAAAGTCTGGAATTCGAAAATAAAAACAACAGAAGATGTGCAGGTGTGGCTGTAGAAATGGGGTATAGGAGTGTAAATCTTCTCTTCATACCCATACTCAGCCTTCTTCTTTGTTCAAAAACAGTATTTCCTTAATGATTATGGAAGATGCATAGCCTGGCCTGGCTTAGACTGTCATATTAACCATAGTTACGAGCAATTTCAATATATGAAAGCAACGAGAAATTCTTTATTCGATGAATTATGAAAATAAAAAAATGCTTCATGAATGTCTTAAACATGTAAATTACTTTATTGTTCTTCTCCAAACAAAATGAATCAATCATCGATTCAAAAAAAATCAGAAGAGCGTCGGATGATTGTAGTAGAAATGAGTAACATCTATAGTTAAAGCCAGAAATGAATCCATTCATTTTGGTAATCGATAGCAAATGCATCATTGATTTGTGTATGACTATGATCGATCAACCATTTGTGAAGAGCTTTCTTGGCTTTTTCAGACAAAGGACCTTTTATGCAGACATAAATTCGTTTTTCTTCCTTCGACATGTCCCCTGCTTGCGATATAGGTGAGTCGATGAAAATTGTTGAATCTTGCACAGACAGAACTAGATGACGAATATGAGTAAACCGTTTTAGAATAACATCTAATCGTAACGTATGAATGTCGCGTAGGCGAAAAATTTCGAGACATACGATTCGTTGTTGTAAAAGTTCATATATAGATTCATTATCTATTATTGTATTGAAGCAATTAAAATCAATCGAGAGGTCATAGAGACGAGGAGCTGCCTTGAGCAAACGAAGCAGTTCACATTTTCCCTCTACGTGAAGACGTTTCAGTCGAGGTAAATGTAAATCCACTGCTTCAGTAAATTGCATCATCGTAGCTAAAGGATAAAAAGTCATAAATCAATTGTTCGATAGAACAAAAGTTATCGATATAATGTCTTTGAATAATATTCGAAATCTGATTTGTGAACAAATTTTTGACTCAGCTTTTCATCAAGATCGATTAGGTATTAACGGCGTCGATACAAGACCTATATACAGTACGTCATTGATGTTTGTCTATGTCCGATGATATTTCATGTAAATGACTATCAGCAATATTTGGGATATCTTTTCTCAACTTCTATTGAAATTACCACAAAATACCGATAGATTTGTTTATTTCGATGATGGTGGCATTGAATAAAGTGATATGATAGCAAAGAATCGAATACAAAACTAATAAAAAGAAGCTGTCTGTCTAGTATAATTTGAATACTGTGCAACGAAAAGAAGGACAGGGAAGTATATCCAGTGAATGCGGAACATAAGAATGAAAACATGAAAAAAAGAGAGACATCAATAGTAATGGTGTCTCTACGAAGTAGTCTTGAAACGATCACGAAATAAGACTTAGAGTTCATTCTTTGAAGTAATCAAGATTTTACTTTTGCAGAGGTTTTTATTTCGATATTTTTCCTTTCAGAATATTTCTCTTTAAGAATAACTAGTTTCTGATTCCTGTTCAATAATCTTCTTCTCTTATGAAATAAAGCTTTTTCTTACAATGTCTACAGTCTGACTTTTCACATAATGAAGCAATATGACGAAATCACCGAATTTTTGCAAGGTATTTACTAGTTCTGCTCGCTTCGCTGGATTTTATTTAAAAGATGGCAGTTAGCTCTTTAAAAGCAATTTTTCACAATGTTTCTTAGCTTTTTTGCAATGTTACTAATATGTTTCTAAAGTTTTATTGAATTAGGAGACCTCATGTACTTGCTTGCTGTCTCTTCGACTTCGTTGTAAATTTAAATCTATTGTCTATGAACTCTCCACCGATAAACATATAGGCTTATTCGTCCGTTTTTCTTCGTGTATCCGGTTATTACAAGTGAATAAAATCTCCTTTACTCACGCTTTTTAAAATAAATAATTAATTATTGTGTGAGAATTACATACGTGCTTCTGAATCATTTTCTATACTAATGTTGAGTTGCCGAAGTCGATGGAAGTGTTGCAAGATCATCAGCGCATCGATAAAAGATGATTCTCTACAGATCTTTAGATATTCCACTGTTTGCATATATTTCCAACCGGATAACATGTATTTACCTATTGCTGTTGGTATCAATATTGAATGCACATTATAAGGTATTGTATGAATAATAGTATATTGATCGGGTTCATTTAACCAGCATGATACTGGAATATGTTTCGGCCATGTAGCAAGCAAACTATCAGTTTTGATAGGTGATTCCGAGAAGTAATAAAGAATGAACAATTGAATTTCGACGAGAGATAATGGTAGAACAATGACAAGGTTCTGTCCATTAGCAAGACGTTCATCATCTGTATATAGATCAAGTGTTAATCTATGTAAAGATGGCATTTTAGACAATATATCGACAATGTTGCTAAATTCCCAAAACATACCATACGAATGTAATTCAAAATCTTTCAATTGAATAAGTGGTGACACATTCATTAATGTTGTTGTTGAAATGCCAGGTGATTGTCCGAAACTTATACGTAAACGGCGCACATTTGGTATAAGTTTGAGTAGGTCTCCTAACATATCGCAATCAATCAAGTTGAGTGTCAATTCTTCAATGTTCGAACATATAATGTTTTTATCATTTGTCTTCAAACTTAAAAAGATGGAATCCTGATCGAACAATACAGATTTGAGCCGACCATTATTCGCAGTCAAAATATTTTTCAATAATTCACTTGAATGTCGACCTGTGAGACGTTTTATATCAAGTTTTACAAGATACTTGAGATCTCTTATTTCTTTAAGAAATATGATTAGATCTGTATCAATGAAACATTCAAGTATCAACGAATACAAATTTGGAAACATCGACGATAAAGTCAACTCAAAGCGTGTTGCATGTAATTTATTCGATATGAAACTAGCCCAATTTCCATTAACCACAAATGATCGAATATTGGAGCTTATTTGAGGTAAAATATTCGATAAAATACAATCAAATTGTTTATATGTTACACCAATAAGATTCATAGAATGACAAAAATAGGTTATTGTCGAATTGAAACGAGTATTCAGATTATAAAAACCATAGATAATATCGGCACAACTAAGATATTGAAATACATGTAATGTAATTTCTTCGGGTAATATTTCAAAATTCGATATTGTAGCCATCTAAAAAGATATTATATGCGCGTAATTACTCATAGAAAGCAAAAGCATGTTGTCGCAATGACCAGAAAAAGCCCGATATATATTTTACACCTATGTAAAGCAGAGACAAAATGAAAAAAAAATGCACATGCGTGCATATGCATCGCGATCATTGCGTCTCAACATCATTCACGTAAAATATACTTCTTTTTCTATCGTTTCTTATAAGCATTGAATCATACGGCTTCATAGAGAATCGATAAAGCAAATTCAATGATTGGTTTTTTTATAATGTGTCTTGTTAATGTAAATAAGATCAGAAAGTAGAGCAGTAGGAAAATCGACAGAATTTTCAATGTTGATCTGAAAAATATTGTTTAATTGAAAGTTTTCCAGAAACAATATCGACATACGCCACTGTTCTGATGTTTCACTCCTTCCTGACATAGCTGCAGACATTCGACTGACATTACCATATTTATGCTTTTCTTACGTGAAAAAGCTTAACTATGAATATCGTTCGACTTTGTTATCTCAGTCTACAATTCGGACAGAATTGCTAAGACAATCACGAGAATGGTCATGTTGAACATTTCTCTTCATATACCTGAAGAGTTGAATCTACATTTATTCGGCTTCACTTATCCATGATAATTGAAAACACATTCTGGTATTTCTATTGACAACTTTTTTTTCTCAGTCAACTAGTAATCATTCAGAATTGAGAAATAAAGACGAAATATGTGATGGAGTAAATTGTCAGTCAACCAAAGTTGAATTCTCTTGTTCGATGTTATGCGACTCCTAGTTCATCAGGCGTGATTTTTTTTGTTTTTCTCGACTTCAATCATTCGAACCTTTTTCTGTTTTAATTTCAAACAACTATCTCTTTGTTTTAGGCAGTTGAGTCTTGACATACCAAATGAATAAGTTAATGTGATGGCTGAATTCTGATTCATTGAATGGATTTATTATTATAGCATCGACAACGTCATAATACAAGAAGCATTGTCTACTGGTAGAATCTCTGGTACAAAGACCTATAATCTCCAGATTTTTCATAGATAACGATGATATGAAAAAAAAACTACAGTTCATTTAACGACCGGCAAATAATAGAAGAAAGGAAGGTATTTAAAGAGAACTCTAATCAAGACTTGGAAACAAAAGAAACAACACATATTCGTAAGTCTCAGAGTAAAAATTTCGTGCACTGTGATCCTTTTCTCTGTTGCCTGCCGAAGCGAGTGTGGGTTTGGACGAATAGAAGATGCTGTCTACACTCTTGTATTACATAAAGTCGCCGTCACCACCGGTTTTTGGAAATTCTTTGATTGTATCGATTTCATCTTTCATATGGTGTGAAAGATAACAAAAAGATGGAATTATTGAACATCTCAGCTTTGAAAACTCTACCAGCATTTTTCTTTTCGATCAGAATTCAAAATTGAACATGAAGATGCAAACATGCATATCTTTATGGAAAAAAACAGTTATTCCATCAGATTTATATCTTTATTTATAATAACAGACATTCTAAAATGAGAGTGTTAGCTGAAGCTTCACATCTAACCATATCATAAAATAAAAATTTGATAAGTAATACTTTGTGGGTTTTAATCTATCAATCTCCATATCTTTTAACTACTCTGAGTATAAAAGGGCGATAACAACATGAAAAACAGAATACGAAAACTCATATGATAGATAATTAAATAGATGATGTTATGATAACTACATTTATTTAAAGATGTGCGTCAAGTCAAAGTTCATTTTTTGTTGGAGGTCTATGGAAAAATGGCTTCTTCAAATATTTGTTGGTCTATTATTATGAAATTGGGTCTTATAATTCTTCTTCTAGCCATAGCTATTCCTTTATATTATGGTTCCACCAATCCTGGTTATCTTTTATCTCGTTTGATTCATTCTTTGATATTAATTAAGCATACTTTTGTTCCAGATACCGATCGACCCATGTTAGGTGCAGAATATTGTGCTTTTGAAAGTATGCTGCGAAGCTCACCTCAAGTCAACTATGATCTAAAAGATGATCCATTGAAAATAGCAAAGGAAATGCGTGCATCTTTTCCAATTGATACAGTCGTTCCTCGTCCTATTGAATGTCAATTCAAAAAACAAATATACGAATACGATAGACGAACTGTTGAAGCCTACTGGGTGGATTATCGTACTGGAACAAAGAAGTGGAATTCAGACCGGGTCATACTTTATTTTCATGGTGGAAGTTATATAGTGGGTGATTTTCAAAATAAGTTCGGATGATTACTCATAACTCTTGATTTAAATGACATTAGCTTGTCGATTTATTCACATATTTCTTTACTTGATTGTCGCAGTAGAGGTTTTCTGTAGAATCTTTTTTTCTACTTAAAAATAGAATAGTGCTTCATTTTTCACAAGAGTAAATATTATTGAAGCAAGTATTATCATTATCTGTTTCAACTTATAGTGGATTCGAATGTCAATTATCTCGTATTTTCAATGCGATAATCATTCACTTGGAATATCGTTGTGCACCAGAACATCCTTTTCCAGCGGCTATAGATGATGCACTTACTCTCTACCGTGCAGTTCTTCAGGATGGTATTTTGCCGTTTCGTCTAGTTATTATGGGCGATTCAGCAGGTGGTGGTCTTACTTTACTCACAATACAAGCACTTCTTGCTCGTCAATTGCCAAAACCTCGTGCTGGCATTATTTTATCTGCATGGGCTGATTTTTCATTATCCGGTGAAAGCTTCACACGTAATCATCTTCCAGATGTAATTCTTCATGCCGAAGGATTTCCTTGGACGGTTGAACAAATCTTGGGTCTGAACCATAGTCAAATAATGCGAGATGATCCTTCATACAGTCCATTATTTGGATCTTTCAAAGATTTTCCTCCACTCTATATTACAGTAGGAACAGCGGAAATATTGGAGGACGATTCAAGACGAGTGGCTGACAAAGCACAACAAGAAGGAATCAATGTAAAACTCGATGTTGCAGAACATTTATTAGATGTTCATCCATTGTTTTTTCCTTATTTTCCTGAAGCACGAAGCACCCTAGACAATATTCGTCAATGGCTCGAAATCAAGTTTCAATGAAGAATCAATGAACTTTTGCTTCTCGTACCTAGTTAACGTTGTTAGCATTTTTCTTTCTGATTATTTATAGAGATAATAGATAGATGATTGTTCAACGTACACTCTTCTAGTAGTACTCAGTCTCAAAATGATAACTGAAACTCCTATGATAGTCATGACGTGAGCTTAGATCTTAGACATTAAATACAAGTCTCTCATTTTGCATCAATTATTTCGACAGTCATCATGTAGAAGCTCGTGATAATTTTACGTAAGTGCAGAAGCACGAATGAGTCAGCAAACATTACATTGTCTTCTTTGGCATCTGGCGATTGCTCTAACGTTGGAAGATGCCATCCTTGACGAAAAATGATCAATCAATAATTGAATCGATGGTTGGTAGAATCGCGCGTTGCATTAATTGATCTGCAATTAGAAGTTCGACTTATTGATTGATTTTTCTTCCAAGGTGTTAGTATAAGTCTTGTTGTCAGTTAAACTCACAAACCAACGTCAATATTTTGAAATTTGACCACAGACTAGTGTTTTTTCATTGTTAAAAAGCGACCGAAACATGTTTAAATCATCTTCAAAATTCCCCATTGTTGAAAAAGAATCTCCTTGATCAATCTTTTTATACTCATTTACAAACAATACCAAGAATCAAAGGTATGAACCAACTGATCGGTTTAACTTTCTTTGCTTTAAAATTTTCTAACCCAATCACGTACTAAAAACTATTTTTCAAAAGTATTACATGCTTGTGAACAATTTAGCATGCTGTGCATACGCCTGAATCGTTCAAAGAAATATAACTTCTACAGTATTTTATTTCTTAATAATAAAATGATAAATACTAAGAAAAGAAGAATCAGAACCGTATGTAGAAAGTCCAAATACCAATGACAATATTTGAAACCAGTAGCTTTAGCATTTCGTTCTTGATGCAAACCGTTCAAACGTTCTGGTCGATAGATCAAAAAATATTCTGATATCCAGCTATATTTGTTCGATTGAATGTTTTATATGTAAATGTACATATCGCCTCGCTTTCTTTGTACATTTCTGTTTTAGATAGAGGTAATTTAAGCCGTCCGAAGAAATATTCTGATACCCAATGACTAGCTAGTTCACCCACCAACCAATGTGTTACACATGATACGTAGCCAACCAAGTACTCCAACAGGTATGACGCGCCGATGGGTGTGGGGGTGTGGGTGTGGGTAGAAATTCATTCATCGGACACACACCCACACCCACACCCACATCTTTTATAGATGCTTTCAAACTGTCATTACCACTACTACTACAACCACATTGGCGTCTACAACAGGTAAAAGAACTAATAACTAATATGGTATGTGGGTGTGGGTGTGAATATTAGTGGGAAGACGTCCTTCTCATTCACACTCACATTTCACACTTTATAGATACGATACGCCGTATAAGAGAAGGACTTATAAAAGTGAAGATAACCGGAAGAAGTTAGAAATCAGCGACAAGCATCATCAATGAGTGGAAGTAGTCGTTCTCGAAAAAGCTAAGCCGTTTCTTTTCCTACCGACATATGCGGATCAAAATTTAAGCAGCTCACTATTACGCATCTTTTATTCCGCCGCCATATAAAAATTTTCATAAACAATCTTTTGCTTCTGAATAAAGAATGTGCATGTGGATATGGGCTTTAGATGTGACTGTGACTTCGATGTCTGAAAGCGTGTAAGCGCGGACGTCTATTTGAGTGCAGTTATTTGATTAGATCTTCACTTCATATCCATCAATACCAGCATCCATAACCTACGAAAATTACTACCAAGTCAGATGGTAGCAATCGATTTGATGATAAGCTAGATGATTAAAATAAAATACTATATATAGAATCGACCAGATTTCGTACAGCTCATTTTCGGCTATGAGTTTGTTCGACGA